GCCCTGCGGTCTCCCCAGGGGTGCTCATTAGGCACCAATCACAGATAACAGGTCTCACAGCACCTTTAAGAACTCAGGGATGCCCCATTTTGCCCCATGAGCGGGCCAGGAGGTGCTAGTTGGGGTTTGCACAGGAGAGGAATTAAGAACTGAGTTTTAGAAAGAGCACGTCCCTGGGGTAGATTAGAAAGGATTCCTTTGGTGGCAAGTGAAAAACCCAACTCCAAGTGACACAAGCAAAGAAATGGGTAACATGCTGACTCATTAAGGCCTGAGGGCTGTTTTACCATCAGACACAGGCAAATCACTAGGACTTGGCCTCTTTCCTGCTGCCCTGAAGTGGGTTTTTCTCCGAATAGGATTTACTTTCCAGGAGGATCTCAGAAGCTCCAGGTTCTTACTGCTTCCATCTCTCAGAGAATGGTTGCCTCTTTGTGGAGGTCCAGTAAGCATGCTCCAGGGAGAGCTCGGACTACGTGGCCATTCAGCTCAAGGGGGAGGGAGCTTGGGGTACCATCTGCCTAGTGGGGCTCACTGTGTTCGCCTTGGATTGGAGCACAACAGACAAAAGCATATCTGCCTAAAGAGAGGTACAGCAGGCTGGGACCTAGGACCGGGAACGTGCAGGCTGGCCACGCCCTGATGTACAAACAGGCAGGTGCCTGATCAGAGGGCCAGTCAGGGGCGTGCAGGGCAGGGAGGGTGTGGGAGCGCTGGGGAGGCTGGGGAGGGCTTCTGGGAGGAGACAGGTGATGTGGATCATGGAAGAGGCGTTTACCTGGCACATCTGGGTCAGTGGGTGTTGCTGCACATGCATGCACGCCAGACCCCAATTCTGCTTCTGGAATGTGGCTTGCAGGGATTCGCTGGGATCCGTCTGACCCACATCACTCAGAAAGGCGCCCTCCTTAGTCTTTCTCCCTGTCATCTCAGCGATGAGTTGACTTCAAGTTTCTGTGGCACCGAGCTCATGTTGCCATGACAACCCCTGCAGCAGGCATCCGGGCAGAAATGGGCTGGCCCATCTAGGCGCTGCCGGTGGGTGTGAGCACATTCGGGTAATTGGATCGGAGCAACCCTCTGGGCCTTTCCTGCAGAAACCTGAGGCTTGGCCCAGCTCCTGTTTAGATGGCAGCCTGTAGACACAAAGAAGAGGGGACCAGTCTCTATCCAGGTCACCCAGCCCTACTGCCGGAGAGAGGGCTGGGCACACACGGAGACAGAGCACAGGCCATGTCCTGTGCTGTCCCCACCTCGGGGCAACTCCCATCCCTCGTCAACTTCCTTGGAAGTTCCTCCAGGTTAAGATCCCTAAAGATGGGCTGCTGGGGAAAAAAGCTAGACTGGCTTCCCCACTGCAGGAGAAGTTTGAATTCTCAGTCAGTGTCTGCCCAAGGCACATGAGTCTCTGTGCAGGTCTCAGATACCAGCATGTCTGACAGATCTGTGGCCCGGGGAGGTGGGCAGTAGATGGCTGTCTTAGTGCCAATGTCCTTTGGCATCCTGGCAGAGATCCCACTGCCTGCAGTTTCCCTAAAGCCCTTCCCGGGGAGCAGCAGACTGGCTGGCCCCCAAGATTCTAGAGAAGTGTGTAGAGAAGTGGGGTTTAGCCCAGTCTGTCAGCAGCCTGAGCCCCCTGCATGCTGAGGAGTCACTGGCTGTAGCTGTCTCGCTGTTACAGGTGCTGTGGGTGGTCAACCTGAGGAGTCAGTGCCAGCATCCCATTCAGGTCACCCAAGCCCCCAGCTTTAGCTGAGCACTGACTGGTGCCCCTGTGAGGAAGGGAGGAGTCTGGGGTCTCCATGTCTAGGACAGGGAGGTTCCCTACGAGCACCCCCTTGGATACTGTGTGGCCCCCACATTGACCCCAGAGTTTAGGAGTGACCATGAAGATCTGAGCCACCTGGAACCCCAGTCCAGCTCGGGGTCCATGGCATTGGGGCATTCCCAGCAACCGCGACACACACCAGGATCGGCAAGAGGGCCAGACCCAGGGGTGACCGATAGAACCTGAAAGAGCAAATCAGCCTGGAAGGCTGACTGGCAATGGCTCAGCACAAGTGACCTGTGCTGAGGGACTTGCTAGTCCTATCAGAGATGCCCAGGATGGGCTTTGCTTGGCAAAGGACATGGAAGCAGGGAACTGGGGTGAGGCGGGGAGGGAGGTGCTTGTCGCTGTGCAGGCCCAGCCCCGTGCTGATCGAGCAGTAGAGGCACACACAGCTAGGGGCAAGGCGACTCGAGGGCTGCAAACTCTAGGTCTCTCTGAGGAGTCGCCAGCCTCTAATGTTGAGCCCTGGCTCTCTTTCGTGAAGAAAGTGTAGATCCGACTAATTAATATGTTGTTGTTTGTTTACCCTCCCTTCATTTCACTGAGACAAAATAATTAACCACAGAGCTTTAGAACCCTGCTCCGTCGGTGGCAATCCCTTTCGTGCAACTGCGTCAGCAGCTTCTGTGCGTAGGTGATGAGACCGCGTGGGGAGCAGGGCAGGTGGGCAGCACCTGGAGGCTCCTTCTGCCCTAGGGCACTGTGGGATGGGCGGCAGGTGGGGGACTCTGGGCAGCTGGGCCCAACGTGGCTGTGAAGGGGTAGGATGGCAAGCAGGAAGTGCTTGGACCTGCCACGTCTCAGAGGACCCTTCTCACCGGTGGGTGTGTGACCGGGGACCCATGACATTCCTAAGACTGGCCCCGGGGAGAGTGGGGCAGAAAGATCAGGCCTGGCCACTTACTGCCATTTCTTTCTGGGAAAGGACTTGCCCAGAAGGATTGCTGGGTGTGCAGCAGAAGTAAGGGGGGACACAAGACAGGTAAAGAGGAGCCCCCTGGCCCAGCTGATAGCAGATCCCAGCACTGGTCAGTCAGCAGGGTTGGGGATGGGTCACCAGGGTCACCTTTGACCCATAGTAGAAAGGAGGTGTCTGCAAAGCACCCCCCCCCCCATGGTCTACCTGTATCTCTGAACTTTACATTTCCAGTGTTGGCTTTAAAGCCATTTCCCTTGAAGAAAGTAAAATCTTTGCAAAATGTTGCCAGAGCTCACCGGCCCCCAGTGTAGGCTAGCCCTTGAGACTGGGGCGAGCGCCCTGCCCCTACCACTCGGCCCTAGAGACGGGGGCTGAGGATGTGCAGTGCAGGCACGCCGCGCAGAGGCCTCTCCTCACACTCACTTGCCAATTCTTAAGATTTACTTATTTATGCATACAGCGCTGGGGTACAAGCCAGAGCTGCAGGGGCAGAGGCTTCACCAGAGACAGAGTGGGGAGCAGGACAGGCAGATTGACAAAGTACACTGCTGAGGGGAGCAGTGGGAGGGTCAGGAGAGGTCTGCCGCACCATGTGGATCACCTCCGGGGCCAGGGATCAAACTCACACTGTAGTGGCTGCGGCCAGCTTGCAGCGCTGCGTCCTAACCTGTTGTGCCACCAGGGAGGGTCTCACTTGCCATTTCTTGAGCTGCCACTGGCACAACCTTAGGAGCCTTGATGCCCTCAGTAAAGCTGCTTCTTTCAAGAGGCTCCCACTCTGCCAATGGTGGGGGTACGGGGAGGGGACTGGCTTCCCATAAGCTTTTATGGTTTGGAACTAGAGTGCAGGCTGTGCGTATGGGGGACAGGACCCCCAGTGGAGGTGCCTAAGCCCGTGGGCAGGGAGCGGGCTCGCGGTGATCTCGAAGCTGAGTACTAAAGGTCAGAGGCAGCGGCTGGGCAGTGGCAGGGTGTGGACTGGAAACCGCATCTCCACGGGTGGCAGGTGAACACAGAGCAGGCGGGGCTGCAGACACGGGCAAGGAGAGGCGTCTGCTGTGAAGACCGAGCCAGGCCTCCGTGGGGTTGCGGCATCCGCAACAGTGACTGATTAGAGCCCCCCAGCCGTGTTGTGGAGCGTGGCCTGGGAAGGTGGGTGAGCTCTGATGCAGTCCCCACCAGCACTGGAGCTCCAGGGGGCTTGGGTGAGGAGCAGGAACTGGACACCCTGAGGGAGGGTGGAGTTTAGCTGACACCCAAATTATGGCTTGGGGGAGCAGGGACACAAAAGGAAGGGTGTGGGGTCAGGATGACGGCCCCCCGCGTGCCAGGGCAGCAGCAGGGCTGCGTGAGCAAGGAGCGCGTGAACGCCACAGCTGACTGGTAATGCAGACTGGTTTGTGCTTACGCAAACCTCACTGCCGACCGAGCACTCCAGGTCCCGGGAGGCTGGGTAAACACTCCACACTCTCGTCTTTATTGATTTTATATTCAGTGCAATAAATGCTCCTGCTGGCCTTTCCCAGGTGAGGCCCTGGAGTGCTCGGGGACCTCCCATGGCTCCCACAGAGCAGCCTTGCTCTGGCCTGGGCTGCATCTCAGCAGAGGAAGAGGACTGAAGCCCAGGCTAGGCCTTGAGGCCCCAGGGAGCACCTACAAAAGTCAACCTGTCGTTGGGTAACTGGTCGTTTGGAAGTCGCTCAGGTTTAGGCTATGCTTGGATGTCCCTGGATGGGGATTTTCTGCCAGGACTGGCACTATGTGTGTTGGGGGGCGGCGTGTGATGCAGCTCAGTGGGGGAAGATCAGCCTTCTGTCCCCACCACCAGTCAGCGCTCCAGCCCCGGGCTCTCCGGCCCCTCTTCCCCGCAGTTAGTTCCGTCTCCTCTCTGGCCTGTGGGTCCCCACTGGCAGGCAGGAAGCTGTCGGCAGCCCCTTGCCTTTCCAATCATGCGCCTGGCTCCCAGCAAGCTCCTAGCTGCTCCAGACCAGTGTGAGAACTAGAACTAGGGTCCCGGGTCTGTCTCCTGAACACCCACAAAGCTGTGTGGCCAGGCTTCAAGGTCAAGCTGCTGATCTGGAAGCAGTCAGGTCACCGAGCTCTTTACACACAGGCAGAGGACACAGAACAGCTCTGGCCCAGTCCTGCCCATGTGGAGGAAGCAGGAACGGGGTGAGCGGGGAAATGGCCCCAGCCTCCCACCTGTTCCCCTAACGACAAATAATGGCCGCTCACATTTTTGTCCTGCAGGTTCTCCATCAGGCCTTGGTAGCCCAGTATGGCCCTGAGGTAAACCATGACCAGCTGGCCAGCACTCGCCACTGACCATCCAGAGTCGCATCTCACCGGGAGGTGACCCTCCTGCTCCCCCACGCGCCCACCCCCACCCAGGAACGTGCCCGCGCTGCCACGGACACCATGTAGTAGGGCCGCTGCGGCGCCCAGCGAGCTGCGATGGTTTTGTACACGACCCCCTTTCCCAACAGCTGTCTGTCTGCCCTGCACTCCGTGTCCTGGGCCCTCATCTTCCCATGCTACTGGCTAGTGGACCGGCTCGTGGCCTCCTTCAAACCCACCACGTATGAGAAGCGTCAGCAGGCCGACGACCCGTGCTACCTCCAGCTGCTCTGCACCGTGCTGTTCACACCTGTCTACCTGGCACTCCTGGTCGCATCACTGCCCTTCGCGTTCCTCGGCTTCCTCCTCTGGTCCCCCCTGCAGTCTGCCCGCAGGCCCTACATCTACTCCCGGCTAGAGGACAAAGGCCCAGGCGGTGGTGCGGCCCTGCTCAGTGAATGGAAGGGTACAGGTCCAGGAAAAAGCTTCTGCTTTGCCTCTGCCAACCTCTGCCTCCTCCCTGACTCACTGGCCAGATACAACAACCTCTTCAACACCCAGGCACGGGCCAAAGAGATTGGGCAGAGAATCCGAAATGGGGCCAGCCGGCCCCAGATCAAAATCTATATCGATTCTCCCACCAATACCTCCATCAGCGCAGCCAGCTTCAGCAGCCTGGTTTCGCCGCAGGGTGGTGATGCTGTGTCCAGGGGCGTCCCCGGGAGCATTAAGAGGACGGCCTCGGTGGAATACAAGGGTGACGGCGGGCGGCACCCCAGTGATGAGGCTGCCAATGGTCCGGCCTCTGGGGATCCAGGAGACTGCGGCAACCTTGAGGATGCCTGCATCGTGCGCATTGCGGGCGAGGAGGGAGGTCGGCTCCCTGAAGTGGATGACCCCCCTACTGGGGTCCAGGCCAGGAACGGAGCCAGTGGGGGCTCACGGGGCCAGACACCCAACCACAGTCAGCAAGATGGGGACTCGGGAAGCCTGGGCAGCCCCTCGGCCTCCAGGGAGTCCCTGGTGAAGGCGAGGGCCGGGGGGGACAGTGGCAGTGTGGAACCGGGTACCACGAACAACAGCAAGCTCCCGTACAAGGCCTCCGTGGTTAAGAAAGCCACTGCGCGCAAGAGGCGGCACCCCGATGAGGCCTTCGACCACGAGATCTCGGCCTTCTTCCCCGCCAACCTGGACTTCCTGTGCCTGCAGGAGGTGTTCGACAAGCGTGCGGCCGCCAAGTTGAAAGAGCGGCTGCACGGCTACTTCGAGTATATCCTGTATGACGTGGGGGTCTATGGCTGCCGCGGCTGCTGCAGCTTCAAGTTTTTCAACAGCGGCCTCTTCTTTGCCAGCCGCTACCCCATCATGGATGTGGCCTATCACTGTTACCCCAACGGGAGAGGCTCGGATGCCCTGGCCTCCAAGGGAGCGCTGTTTCTCAAGGTAGGAGGCTTTGGCTGCCCGCAGCACATGCTGGTCCCACACGGGACATGGTCCTACATGGGGGTACCTAAGAGGTGTATTCAGAACACTGATGAGGGGCCCTTCTTCTCTTGGGGGACTGAGAGCAGACAAGGTCTATCATGGAACTGAATAGGGGTCGCGGGCCACTAAGAAGCAAAGGAAATGAGGAGGTGAGGAGAGCAGCCACGGCCCAGTGACTGGACAGACCCGACTGGATGGCCCGGGGCAGACGCATCCGATCTTGGAGATGCTGAAAATTGGGGGCCAACTAGTACCTACTCAGGGCTTACTGTGAGCAACAAGGCCTGGTGACGTAGGTGGCTGTGGCGATCATGGTGGTGAGTAGGGGGCAGGAGGAGGTAGGGGGACCCTGCCTCCTAGGAAAGGGAGGCCAGAAGCTGCTGGAAGGCAGCTAGCCTAGACTTCCAACCTCACTGGCCCGGACACCCCCTCCCTCCTTGCTGTTACGCAGCTGCTGTGCCAGGCACTCTGCCCACCAGCCCATTGGCTGTGCTTCCATAGTCACTAATTAAAGTGAATCATAATTATTTCTGCTAATTTGAATGCAATTGGAGGAGTTTTTAGACCATGGTAATTTGGTCATTATGAATTATCTTCTACTGAGCCTGACACGCTCGGAGTGCCGACTTTTTGTTCTTTGTCCAAAAGCCGCTCTGGTGGGGGTCTCACCGTTTTCTGAGGCATCACTTGGCCAGCTGACATACAGTAGGGCCTTCTGTCCCCAGAGGCGGCAGCAGCTGTGGATATGAGTTCCCTCTCTGAAGCTGAGATGTGAACAAGTAGAGGCCCAGTGGGGAGGGCATTTCCCTCAGGACTTCTCAGTCCCCCTGAGAGGGGGGTCTTTGGGTCTTTGTGTTGGTGTGGGGGCACTGGTGTGGCTAATGCTGGTGACGCTCTCACCCCCCCGTCTGTCGAGGACAGGACCGTTTATCCAGGACCCACCACCCGGGGCCTGGCCCCCACATGAGTTGCCTAATAGCTCTGTGTGGATCTGCAAGTCCAGAATTGGGGTCCCTGGTTCTCTATTCACAGCCTAAAATGCTAAAATTGAATGAACTCTTACCAGAAAGCCGGCGTTGCCACTTCTCCATATGGCCTGTCAGTGTTCTGTTCCACACGTGTATTTTTGTCTCAGCAGAGTGACTTTCTGGGGAAGAAGGAGACCTGGCTCAGGGTGGGAGAGCACACGCCCCTCAGCACCCCCGTGGCAGATGGTTCAGAGGCCGACGCCTCACCGTCCTCCCCTGCCCCGCCCCCTTGGTCTGGTGCCCCAACCGTGGTGGCCCCCAGGGCAGCAGCAGTGTCCTCGGGACAGTCCCGCAGCTAAGTCTTTCCTCCCTGCACAAGCTGTTCTTCCAGGCTCCTTGTCACCTCCTGTCCCTTAAAGGCCGATGCTTCCTCTACTTCATGGACCTAACACTGGTCTGCAGATATGTTTGGGTTGTCCTACACCACTAGAAAAATTTTATGTTGGCCCACATATAACAATCTAGGTAATTCACAGAAAACCCAGTTTGCCACAGCAACCCTGGCCTCAGCAGCTCTGGCAGCCCTGTTGCATGGCACCCTCCTCTCAGCCTGAGCTGAGGGTAGAGGCCCTCACCTTACGTGAGCCCCACCTAGTAGCCCCTCTTTACTTCCAAGTGGTCCACCAGGTCCCACCGACCTGCCTAGGTGTGACTCCACAACCTCCATTGTCACCCTGGCCTAGCACGCTAAGGTTGGCCCCTGCCCAGATCTTTCCCCTCAGGCTTCAGCTCTTGTCTGACTGTCCCCTGGGAACAGCTGTTGACTCCTGAAGCCAGCTCACCATTTCTTTGTGCCACCCTCCCCAGGTGCCACCATCCCTCAGGCCTACTTGGTTCTTCCTTGTGCCTAGAGCCGACCTAACCCATGCATGCTGGCTAGCTGCGCTTTCCAAACTCCTTGGTGTCCACTCCATGTCTCCAGCCTGGCCCAGGCTGCCAGTCCTCTGACCAGCCCAAATGTGTCTTGGTTCCCCTCACCTGCCAACCTTCATGGGACTCTTGTTCCCACACTACCTACTGCCCTCCTGAGCCCCTCCACCCCAGGCAGGCGCTGCTCCACCACCCTGCAGCCTGCACTCAGCAAGTGCCAGCCCCCTTGACTCCATTCCCCCTGGGCTGGCTGCCCTGCACAAGCCAGCTGTCCCTTGGTGGGGGCCTTCCTCAGCCCTTGTGGCCAGGATCTTGTCTCCCGTCTCTCGCACCAGATTTGAGAGGACAGCTGGGTGTGCCCTGGCCCAGTTCGGCTGTCAGCACGTGCCTGTTTCTCCTGCACGCAGGAGCAAGACAATGAGGTTTCAAGAACCACAACAACTCAGAAAGGGGCCCAGGGCAGTGAGAAAGCAGCTGGGCTCTTTCACCCTCTTTCCCCGCAGGGCTCTCCCCTCCAGCCCTATCCTTCCAGGTTGCTCTGTGGCACTTCTGATCCTTGACAACTTCCATGTGACCCTGAGAAAAGCCTGGAACCGCTTTTACCTTATCTAGGAGAGAGCCTAATTCTTGGCCCTTGTGTATCAACAATCTTTGCCCACAGGGCTAAAAGGCACAGCCTCTCAGTGTGATTGTTTGTTTTTGCAAGAGAAACATAAGCCTCTGCGGCTCCCAAGGACTGGAGCCTGGAATCAATAAGTTCCAGCGCATAATAAAGTGGATCTCCACAGTGGCAGTGGTGGTGGCAGCTGCTAACTGGCAGACTAGTGGGGAGTAGAGTGAGAGCTTGAGAGGTGGGGGGGCAGGTGTGGCTTCACTGTGTCCTCCCCCAGGCGGGTTCTCAGCTCAAGCACAGTGGTGCCTCTCTGCACTAGTCCCCTGTGCCTGTCCAGAAGTCGGCACAGGCAGATGACACTAAGTGCCGAGGGAGTGAAGCACTGACCACTAAGACCATCCAGTGGGTGGCCAGTGACAAGCCTGGCAGCATCCAGGGGTCAGAAAACAGCACAGAGCAGGGTAAGGAGCTAGGTGTAGAACAGCAAACAGACCTGACCTCAGCCTTCGGGGCCTTGTGAGTCCAGCCAATTGTGGTATAATTCTAGTATAATCCTCATAGTGGTTGCAAACCTCTAGCAAGGCAGTCTCCAGGACTAAGCACCAAGTATGAATGTGCTAACTTGGTATTATTATAATAGGCCCATGGCCAGAGAAATACAGGGGACAATAGCGCCATCATGTGGGCCTGGGGAGCACTGTGGTTTAAAAACTTGTTTTTG